TTGAGACTTTTGAAAGCTTTTAATTACTTGAAAAAACAAAGGTTTAAAATGAATGATATTGAGAAAAGAAAGTATTATCTTTTCTTGTAGATCAAGTACAATATAAATGAAGAATTTATCTATCAATCAACCTATGGAAAAAGATTATGAAGTTTTGAGCACACCAATGGTTGTTTGGTCTCTTAATCTTAAAAATGATCTTCTTTGTCTTAAAGAATATGTGAAAAAAATGATTGGTCTTGAAGTATCATATCATGCAATAGATGCTTTGTTACACTTGTCACTATATATCATACTAGATATAACATTTGCAGTCAAATTTCTAGCGAGATTCAACTCTGAGCCAACTCAAAAACATTGGAAAAATATAAAACATATATTTTGTTACCTTAACGAAGAAACTCTGTATTATTATGTTTTAACAATTTTACTCATTATCTAAAATTGGTTTTGTATGTAGATGTTAGATACCTATCTAATTCCCACAAAGCCCATTCATGGACATATAATATTTTTACTCATAATGGCATTATAATTTCAATGCAATCAACAATCCTCCAATCATTTTGAGATTTTTGCACTTAATGAGGCCAGCTGAGAATGTATATGACTATGGTCTGTCATATATCATATTTATGGTGCATCAAACTTTTTTCCATCACTAACACTCTTACTATTATACATGCAAATAAGACAATGTCCATTCCTCAAATTAATTGAGACATAACCAAGCATACCAAAATTCTTTCATACACATAAACTCTAGAGAATAAAAGATCAATGTCAAAGAAATACGTTGCAGTGATAGTTTTGCAAATCTGTTCGCTAAAACTTTTCTGTTACCAATCTTTAAGAAGTTGGTGTATGACATTGCCATGTAGCAGGTCAATAAGCAACCAACATTGATCTATGATTTTATGCAATGATGAGAGGAAGCATTCATAAGGGGAGCACATATTTAAAGAAGACTATTGTTAGACACACATGCTCAATACTAACTTTTTTTCTCTTGACCAAATTTTATGTCACCAGGTTTTATCACCACTTTACAATTTATCAAATATANTTCCATCACTAACACTCTTACTATTATACATGCAAATAAGACAATGTCCATTCCTCAAATTAATTGAGACATAACCAAGCATACCAAAATTCTTTCATACACATAAACTCTAGAGAATAAAAGATCAATGTCAAAGAAATACGTTGCAGTGATAGTTTTGCAAATCTGTTCGCTAAAACTTTTCTGTTACCAATCTTTAAGAAGTTGGTGTATGACATTGCCATGTAGCAGGTCAATAAGCAACCAACATTGATCCATGATTTTATGCAATGATGAGAGGAAGCATTCATAAGGGGAGCACATATTTAAAGAAGACTATTGTTAGACACACATGATAATACTAACTTTTTTTCTCTAGACCAAATTTGATGTCACCAGGTTTTATCACCACTTTACATTTATCAAATTTTTTTTGTGTGTGTGTGTGTGTGTGTGTGTGTGTGTGTGTGTGTGTGTGTGATAATCGGAGGTATCCGGGCCTGTTTGCACTCACCTCAACTAATCTCTAGGAACCTTGAAGTTAACGATCGGGTAAACCTCTAGTGGTCACCCCTATTAGCAGTCGAGGTGAATCGAGCTCAAGACCTATTGAGTAATATAATCAAGAGTCTTAGTTGACCGCTCGGCCATCCAATGGTGGTTAAGAGTCAAACGATCTAGTTATGACAAACACATCATCACCCCTCTTTAGTGAATGTCATTGCACTACTAGACCACCATTGTTTTATGGCATAAACTACGTACAATGGAAGATTAGGATGAGACTTCATATTAGATCCACCGATTACAATTTGTGGAAAATAGTAGAATAGGGGAACTTTGTTCCCCTGGACCCTAATACAAGTCTTCCTAAAGCAAATTTCATGTCACAAGAAGTTTGATTGGGTGAACAGTTTATCAAATAATTGTATTGTTTATTTACTATATTTTTTTCAGTAGGATTATATATCATTAGTGAAAATTCAATGAAAATTATTGTATATAAGTGGATTTATGATTACAGCTTGAAAATACATGTTTTGTTAGTGATTCAATTGGATTATTTGTGGGAAAATTTGTTTAAACTGCAAAATTTGAGTTAATTACTTCATAAATACCTTTTATGGGATGACGGGGTGTATTTTGAGTATTTTCAGGTTATAAACAATATTTGAATGAAGAAGAATGATGTTGATGGAATTTGTGACGAGTAGGAACAAACGGTGTAAGAATCGAAATTGAAATGAAGAAGTTATGATGCGTTGAAGATGAGACTTAAAACCTGGAAATTCTTCAAGATAAGCATGCTTTGATGTTTTGATCACAACTTGAGCTTTAGAAATCTGAATTTGATGATTCTTATGGCGTTGGAAAGCTTATTCAAAGAGCTACAAAGTTTGTGTTTATGACTTTGCCAAATTCGGAAGATTCTAGACTCATGGGACAGAAAAAATGATTATCGCAACGACCTTTTTTGTTGCCACAACGATTTATTGCGGGCCTGTTTAGGTTATTCTATTTTCCTAGTCCGAATTTGAATTGTTTAAGGCATTTAATTCTTTCCTAATTAGCCTCCAAACCCTAGCACTATAAATAAGAGTCTTTATTTAGTTTTTAGGGAGATTAGAGAAGGAGAAAGAGCGGCTACTATTTTAGAGATTAGAATTCTTGCAGTTTTTGTTCACCAATTAGAGAAGTTTTTCTATTTTCTTTCTTGAACTCATGTCATTGGATACAATGGTTATTTTTAGTATTGCAATTATGAACTAAATTTCTTTTCTAGGGCTAAAGATGTAGCCTAATTTATAAATATGTGTTGATTTTATTGTTATTAATTTTAATTGAGCGTTAATTCTAAGTTTTGTTATTATGTGTAATTCTTTCAATTCTTAAGGATCCGAGAGTTGAATGATATCATGGGTTGGGTTGAGATCGAGAGATGAAACCTGATTAGTCTAAGGTAATAAAACCATAGATTGAGTGAACGCTAGAAATAGGTTACTGCGGTTTGTGATAGAGGTGGGATAATCCGGTTAACCGAACCGGATAGGGCAAACCGAAAATCGAATCAGTTATTCGGTTTAGACAAAATGCAAATCGAAACTGGAATGGTTTCGGTTATAAACCGAACCAAATATTTGGTTCGGTTAATTGGTTAACCGATTTTCAAATCGGTTTTCAAATTCACCCCTAAAATCCTTCAATTTTTACATTTAAGTCCTAAAATTCTTCAATTTAGTAGCGGTTGTGGACTGTGGACTGTGGACTGTGGTCTGTGGGTGAGTGGGTGGTTGTTGTGGTGGTCGACTCGTCGCTGTGAGTGGGTGGTTGTTGTGGTGAATGGTGATGCTAGGTGAGTGGGTGTCGGCGAAATGGATGCTGGAGTGAATGGGTGTCGGACTATCAACTCACTGTGGGTGGCGCTGCTGGGTGCTGGCGAGTGGCGAAATGCGAAGAAATGAAGAATTGAAGATGGAGTGGAGTCTGCTCAGTCTGGTGTTGAGTGTGCACTGTGGAGATTGGAGGCAGAGAAGAGAAATAGAGATGTGAGATATTGCAAAAAAATAAAGGCTAAAAAAAAAATACATTTTGCTTATATATTTAGGGTAAAACCGGTTTGGGAAAATAAAGGCTAAAAAACAAAATGCATTTTGCTTATATACTTAGGGTAAAACCGGTTTGGGAAATATCCCAATCCGAAAACCAAACCAGTTTTTCAGTTTTTTAAATTTTACAAACCGAACCGGTTTGCAAAAAAACCTAATTTTCGGTTGAGTTTCGGACCGGTTTTCAGTTCGGTTCGGTTTTCAGATTATTTCTCCGACCCCTAATCTGTGAGGCTCTGGTAAATTTCATTGAACTTAATGATCTCTTAGCTTCTAAATCCACTTTAGAGATATTTTGGGTTGTTGCTTAAAGGTTAATTCACTAATTGTTCGAGAGAAAGTTAGTGAAATATTAAGGAGTTTGGCCTTTAGAATAAACTTAATTATGTTAGTAATACTCGTCAATGCATAGGATTAAATTGGTGTGAAATTTGTGTCATAGGTTTAGTCATATTGATCTTTTTACCAAACTATTAATATACTTCTACTTTTGTTTTAGTTTTTAATTTGTTTTATTTTTCATTAAATCATTCTTAAAATTCTGTTTTATAAAATAGATTAGTTTAGTACTTGATAAGTAGTTTTCTTAGGATTCGACACTCGTTTACTCGAGCTTTACTACTTGCACGATTTCGTACACTTGCGAATAACCTGTCAAGTTTTTGGCATTGTTGCCGAGGAACTATTTTTTTTTTTTTTTAACAATATCAATACGAAATATTTAGTTGCTAATTTGATTTGTTTTATTTTTGTTTTAAAATTAATTAATTTTTATTTTATTTTCTTGTGTTTGTTTCTTTTATTTGAATCCTGGAGAGCTTACGTTCTAAAGGTGGTAGTGATCTTAATCCCTTTGATTATGAGATCGAGAGAATGGCTAAACAGTTGAGGAAAGAAAAGAGGCAAGCTAACTTAGAAAAATCAATGGCTAATAGGGGAATTATAAATCACAATATGGAAAACCAAGAGAATGAGAATGAGGAAATCCCAGGAGGCAATGCAACTGGTGGAGCGGTAATGGTTCAAAGAGCATTGAAGGACTACTCTAGTGCTACTGTTGATGGGTGTTATTCTAGCATCAAGAGACCACCAGTTCAAGCAAATAAGTTTGAGATCAAGCCAGCAATTATTCAAATGATTCAGCAGTTGGTCCAATTCGTAGGGTTGCCTAATGATGATCCCAACTTGCATATCGCCAATTTTCTAGAGTTATGCGACACATTCAGGTATAATGGAGTATCTGATGATGCAATTAGGCTAAGGCTTTTCCCATTCTCTCTTCGGGATAAAGCTAAGGCTTGGTTGATTTCTCTGCCATTTGGGAGCATTTTCCACCTGCCAAGTCTGCCAAGCTGAGAAGTGAGATTACCAATTTCTACCAACAAGACATGAAGTCATTATATGAAGCATGAGAAAGGTATAAGGATCTTTTACGGAGGTGTTCTCACCATGATTTGCCAATTTGGTCGCAAGTGCAAACATTCTACCAAGGGTTGCTGCCAAATATTCAAGCCATGATAGATGCTGCCAGTGGAAGAGCCTTGAATAACAAAACATCAGAGGAAGCATACAATTTGATCGAGGTGATGGCGAACAATAATTACATGAAGACTTCAAAGAGAAATTCAACAAGGAAAGCAGAGGGAGTGCACGAAGTTGATGTTAGTGTATGCCCTAGGAACCAATCGTGTCATCGGTTCCGAGGCATTATGTTTTATATATATATGTGAATGTGTATAGTTTGTATATACATTTTATCTTATCAATAGAAGAAAGTGTTCTTATTTCATATGTGGTTTATTGCTTCATTTATACATATGTATTACATGTGAAATGTCCGGATGATACAAATATTTAGAAGATCAAAATCATCAAAGTATTCCCTACATAGGTAATATTAATTGGGCAATAATATTACATAGTAGGCATGCTGAATGCCTCCGTAGAATATCATGTGATGGTATTGGTGTGGGTGATTATAAAAGTTATATCACTAGGGCATTAGCATGGATACGCGGTTAGTGAACTGTTTATCGAATATGGCCATTTATGATGAATCACATGGACATTTAAAATGTAGTCAATGATTTATCATAAGATCGTACTAGGGTATTTTTAATCCTTAGACCTGAGATATCACGGTTGGATTCTGCATAAACGCATATGGTTCATATGGTGTATAAACATGAGGCTAATCATGCCATGTGTTAATAAGCCGATTTGGCCATGTGTTGTTTATGTGTGAGGACAAGTGATAGTCAAGATGGGATCCGTTGACTTGGTATAGATTGATATCAAGTTCCTAGACAAATGTCAAGATACATTGGAAAAGGGAAATCTCCGGCCGGGGTATATAAAATGTTACATGAAAGGTTGTTTCATGGTGACACGTTCCATATGTATTGAATTAAAATTAAGATAAGGATTTTGACATACCATGAATCCATTCTTAATTGGGATTAGACAACGGAAGGATTTGATTATACAACATGTATGATTGTAAAAGGTTCGTTGGAGTATATCTTCATTGTGACTTAGGGGTTATGGAGCATTGCTAGATGCCTACCATAATCAGTGGGAGTTTTGTTCATAAAGAGTTATGACAAAACATATCGAAATAGTCTGTGATATTGGGCCCACGGCTAGGCCACAGTGAACCTAAGAGGTCACACATAAAAACTAAGGAGAATGAAGAAATAGCCAAAGAGAGTTGATTATCCAAGGTTGGCTAGCACCTACCAAAGGTAATAAAGTTATTTATATTAATCATTTTCTTTATATTAAATTGGATTTTACAAGGGGTTGTAATTGTAAACAATTTAAGGGTTAAATTGTTATGTAAACAATTTAAGAGTTAAATTGTTAATTGTGATTAAATGTTAATCCAATGTTATCATTTAAAGAAGTTTAACAACTTCATAACAATTATGGAATTGTTTAAGGAAGTCCAAAACAATTATTGAATTGTTTACAAGGATTCCTATATAAAGAAAATGATATATCAATTTTTGTGTAGAGAAAAATCTCTAAGAACCCTAAATCTCCCTCTTGGTCAAATCTCTTCTTCCCTTGGTGTGGATACTCTTTTGCTTAATTTCTCTTGAAATTAAGAGTCTCCAAGGTTGCTAAGGGCTTAAGGTAACATGTTCTACCTTACTTATTTCAATTTGATTGAAATTTATTTTATAAATATGACTATACTTGTTATAACATGATATGCTTGATTCTCCATGTATCCATCTTTCAGTTGAAGGTTACACTGCATTGGCTGCTCAACTTTCAAACATCTAGAAGCAATTAGGTAATGTATTAAAGATAAATACAATTGACTCCTCTTCTCTAACATGCGAACTCTGTGTAGGTAATCACTCATCCAAGTATTGTCAAGAAGGGAATCCGTTTAATTAGCCTGAACAAGCTAATTACGTCAATAATTTCCAGATGGGGTAAGGGAATCCATATTCCATCATATACAATCCAGCATGGAGGAAGCAACCGAACTTCTCATAGAGTAACAACAATAAACATAAACAACCTCCTAGTTTTCAAGCTCAAGAGTCGAAATCTAACTTGGAGAATGTGCTTACCAAGTTCATTGAAGAGACAAGCAAGAGGTTTGAAAAGAATGAAATCCTTGCCCAAAATCAGTTAGCCTCTATTAGAAACCTTGAGACTCAAATGGGGCAAATCCATGACATAATAGCGAGAAGAGTTCAAGGAGTTTTATCGAGCGATACATAGAAGAACCCTAAGGAACAAGTCCATGCAATCACCCTGAGGAGTGGAAGAACCTTGGAGAATTCAAAGGATGAAAAACGGATGCAAGAAAGAGAGAAAAACTTGGAAGAAGAAAAGAAGGACGATCGTCGTGGCTAGGAAAATGGTCGTCATAGCAACTGTGAAAAGAAGGACGATCATCGCGGTGATAAAAATGGTTGTTGCGGTGACAGTGAAAATTTGAAGAAAAAGGCTTTGTTGATGACGATCATCGCGGTGAGGAAAATTGTCATTGCGGCGACCGTGAAATTGTTCTCGAACCTTTAGAAGATGATATTTATCATCACGACAAGGAAATTAGTCGCCACAACGACCGTGAATCTGACTAGAGTGCATCTTCAAGTCATCAAGCCAAGGAGAAAAAAGAATCCACCCTTCCATACCCATACTGATTGAAGAATCGAAAGCTTGGCAAACAATTTGGTAAGTTTATTGACATGTTTCGAAGCTTGCCTATTAACATTCATTTTGTTGATATGTTAAAGTAGATGCCCAAATACGTCAAGTTTCTGAAGGAGATCCTCACGCATAAAAGTAGATTTGAGGAACATGAGAAAGTAATGCTAACGGAGGTGTGTAGTGCACTGATTCAAAAGAAACTACCGTCAAAAGTATGAGATCCGGGGAGTTTTACTATCTCTTGTATTATTGGTAGTTGTTATTTTGACAAGGTTTTGAGTGATTTAGGAGCAAGCATTAATTTAATGTCGTTTTCTATCTACAGGAAACTTGGATTGGGAAAATTGAAGCCAACCACCGTGTCTCTCCAATTGGCAGATCGATCAATAACATATCCTAGGGGGGTGGTAGAAGACATTTTGATTAAGGTAGATAAATTGATTTTCCCGTTAGATTTCATAGTATTAGACATGGAGGAAGATAGAGAAATACCTTTAATCCTAAGACGACATTTTCTAGCAACGGGCAGAGCATTGATAGATGTTCATTAAGAGAAACTAATCTTAAGGGTAGAAGATGAGCAAGTAGAGTTTAATGTTTTTGATGCCACGAAACATCCATCCGAATTAGACACGTGCTTCGAGACTAGTATCCTTGATAAGATAGTGAATAAAAAATTAGAAAAAAACTACCCTAGTTCACCCCCAGAGAATTGTTTAGTCAACTCTATGACTATAGAAGCTAACTTTGAGTTGGTAGATGAACTATGGTTAAAGTCCTATGTGAATGGTGAAATTAAGGATATGAGGGTTTGGATCCTCCTGGATGATTTGGATTGAAGAAAACGAAAAGTCAAGCTTAAAACTTTAACCAATCGCTTTTGGGAGGCAACCCAAGTTGATTCTTGTTTTATTTCGAATTTTTTTCTTTAATGAATTAATTTGTTATTGTTGCAAGTGTTAGTTTTTAGGTGTCCTTAATTCTTTCCGTCTAGCTAAATGATGTTGATGTTGTGTTTGTTACTCTAAATTATAAATTTAACTAGTGATGTGTGTTGCCGATAAGGTACACCGAAAGTCTCTTTGTTTTGCAGGAATTTGATTTCAATGATGGAATGAAATGAGTAAGGTGGTTAAACTTTCACGCTTATTCACACTTCACTATTGCAAAAGGGGGTAACTTTTCTTTTTCTCTTTTTCCTTTTGTTTACATTTGTACATTGGGGATAATGTAGATTTTAGGTTGGGGGTACGGGAAGTTTCTTCCCAAAAATTTCGAATTTATGGATTTAGGAGAATTTTTTTTTTTTTTTTTTTGTGTTCTGTTTTGAATTTTGGTTCTATTCTTGGATTAATTTATATGTCTATGATAGGAATGTAATTGCAATAACATGTAACAAGTAGAAGACATTAATTTTTGCCTTTAATTACAGATGATTGTGAATGTTAATGACATTTAATTTGAGACCCTAGTGGTTTGTGGATTGAAAGTGGTTAAGTATACTTACTTAGAGAAGTTTTATGTGTGAAGTTTTCATGGATATTTTTGTGATCTCAACAAACTCTAGAACTTATTTGATAACCACTTGAGGCGAAATCCTAGAGTTCACATCACTTAGGAAATGATTTAGGTTGTTTTTGGACCGATTGAGCCTTTCAAGCCGACCCTTTTTATTATCATCGCTAGTTAACCCCTTGAGCCTTTTTAAACACAATTTAGTCTTGTTTTTCTTTCTTTGAACTTAATTTTTCCTTACCCTGATTATGAACCTAAAACACAGTCTTACCCGTTTTATTTTTAAGAGACTTAATTGTAATTCAAGCTTATTATGAGTATTGGAGAGGTGTAGTGTTGCCACAACCCAGGTTTATGTGAAGAAATTGGTTGGGGGTTGTGGAGTGCTTGTAAGATCAGTGGGGCTGTATGTGTTTTCTACTTTCTTTTTATTGTTGTTAATTTAAAAAAAAAAAAACTGAAAAACCAAAAAAAAAAAAGAGAAGAAAAAAAGAAAAGTGAGCTTTGAAAAGCATTATGCAGATGTAAAATTATGCAAATCGGTATATTTTAGTATCGAAAAGAAAGAGCTCGATAAAGGTTAGGAAGCTACTGAGTGAAAAAGGAAAGTGTTTTTGTATGATAGTAATAAGAATGAATGAAGATTAAGTCTCTTAATTTGATTTTTGTTGAATTCCCTTTCCGTTCTTTCATGAACCCATACCCTAGCCTAACGTTACAACCTATACAAAGACCTATTGATATAAGGTAGTGTGAATTTCTACATTAGTGGAGAGTGATTTGAAAAGTGAGCCTATGGAGTTTGATTCCATGATTCATATATAAGTCATAACTCGAATACTGATCGAGATCAAAATTTTGTTTATGAATGTTATGCATAAAACCATCTGGGTTTGTAGACTAATGGTTTGTGGTTGTATGGATGTTCTAGGGTCGATAACGAAAATGGAATTGACGTTTGCATTATCTGTGAGTTTAGGCGATTTTTTATTATTCTATTTGTTTTATGTATATGCGATTTTGAGACAACTTTATAAATTGATCCAAGAATTTTTGTCAGTCTTTGTTTTTATTTTTGAAGTTTAGGTTAAGTTTAGTGTGGATGTTTGTGGTTATCATCGCTGAAAACCCTCACGAGATTGCAACTTATCCAACTAGGGTTGCCTAGGGGTTTTAAGGCTTGTTGCATATGCTAAATGCAATCGTGTCAATCTACGAGAAGGATTTAGGATAGTTTACATATAAGTTTTAATTGTTTGTTTTATTTTCAAGCTTAAAGATATGTTTTATTGCTTAGTTTGCTAGGGACTAGCAAGAAGCTGGTTGGGGGTTGTGACAAGAGCTTGAAAATATGTGTTTGTTAGTGATTCAATTGGATTATTTGTGGGAAATTTTGTTTAAACTGCAAAATTTGAGTTAATACCTTCTATGGGATCACAGGGTGTATTTTGAGTATTTTTAAGTTATAAACGATATTTGAATGAAGAAAAATGATGTTGATGGAATTTGTGACGAATAGAAACAAACGGTGCAAGAATCGGAATTGAAATAAGGAACTTATGATGCATTGAAGATGAGACTTAAAACCTAGAAATTCTTCGAGATGAGCATGCTCAATGTTTTGATCATAACTTGAGTTGTAGAAATCAAAATTTGATGATTCTTATGGCTTTGGAAAGCTTATTCAGAGAGCTACAAAGTTTGTGTTGATTACTTTTCCAAATTCAGAAGATTTAAGACTCGTGTGATAGAAAGAACGATCATCGCAACGACCTTTTTGTTGCCATAGTGATGTATTGCAGGCCTCTTTGGGTTATTCTATTTTCCTAGTCCAAATTTGAATTGTTTAAGGAATTTAATTCTTTTCTAATTAACCTCCAAACTCTAGCATTATAAATAAGGGTCTTTATTTAGTTTTTAGGGAGCTTAGAGAAGGAGAAAGAGCGGCTAATATTTTGGAGATAAGAATTCTTGTAGTTTTCGTTCACCAATTAGAGAAGTTTTTCCATTTTCTTTCTTGAACTCATGTTATTGAATACAATGGTTGTTTTTAGTATTGCAATTATGAACTAAATTTCTTTTCTAGGGCTAAAGATGTAGCCCAATTTATGAATATGTGTTGATTTTATTGTTGTTAATTTTAATTGAGCATTAATTCTAAGTTTTATTATTGTGTGTAATGCTTTTAATTCTTAAGGATCCGAGAGTTGAATGATATCATGGGTTGGGTTGAGATCGAAAGATGAAACCTGATTAGTCTAAGGTAATAAAACCATATATTGAGCGAACGCTAGATATATGTTACCGCGATTTGTGAGACTTTGATAAATTCCATAAAACTTAATGATCTCTTAGCTTCTAAATCCACTTTAGAGATATTTTGGGTTGTTGCTTAAAGGTTAATTTGCTAATTGTTTGAGAGAAAGTTAGTGAAATATTAGGGAGTTTGACCGTTAGAATAAACTTAATTAGGTTAGCAATAATTGTCAATGCATATGATTAAATTGGTGTGAAATCTGTGTTATAGGTTTAGTCATATTGATCTTTTTACCAATGTATTAATATAATTCTGCTATTGTTTTAGTTTTTAGTTTGTTTTATTTTTCATTAAATCATTCTTAAAATTCTGTTTTATCAAATAGTAATAAAATAGATTAGTTTGGTACTTGGTAAGTAATTCTCTTGGGATTCGATATTCGTTTACTCGAATTTTATTACTTACGTGATTTCGTACACTTCTGAATAACTTGTCAATTTACCACCAATTTACACATGAAAGTCCTTCAAATGTGCCTATCTTAGTGCAAGAGTTGACATCCCATTTGGTTTTTGTTTCGGCCATATTCAATGGATTGCATGGGCCATTGAGCCTTATAAATAGAGAAGAGAATCAAGTTTTCTCTAGAACAATTTCATTATTTTTAATTTACAGCAATATTCTCTTTAAGAATGAAAAATGAAACAATTAATTTCTAGTCAATAGACACAGGCAGGGGGCGACGTTATGAATTTAATTGATGCAGATGACTCTTGGTGATTATCATATTATATTATTTACGTGACTGAGCGTGCTTAATATATCACTATTTAGGCCGACCTACTTAGGCCGATATTAATTATTATTATTCTAAAGCATTGACAATTTGATAGTTAGAGCCACGATGTGATAGCAACTAATTAATATTGTTTCTCATTTTCCTAATTTATTTATATTCTAATTGAAAAGTCAATACATCCTCAGAGTTCTAGCGACTTAAGAAGTCTAAACTCTGACATATGAGAAATGAGAAATTTCCTTAATAATTTTTATATCGGTTAATAAAATCGTTTCTGATTTGTTTAACAACTTAATTCAGAAATAAATTAAATAGAGATTTGATTATGTTTAGAAAATATGACATCAAAAAACACGATTATATGTAAATAATTCCCCACTTGCCTTTTCTTTCATCAATATAAGGTCAATGAATGTTAAATTGGTTTGCATGAGTTTGGATAAAAAAAAAAATTGAGCTCTATGGATATGCAGTTTGAAGAGTAAACAAGATTAACAAATTACTTTCTAATTAATCAATAATTAAGTGAAGAGTAAGTGAAGGGTACATGTCTCTGGAGATCGATACACATCAAGCATGTGGATATTGATCTTGAGGCCTATTTTGATTGTGCTTTAAGGCCAACCCAAACCCGAGCTCCCTTACAAGTAAAGCACTTCTTACTCTGCACAAACTATCCTCCTTCATCTTTTCATTCTCATCTTACTACAAATAGCATTTTAATTTCCATTCATCACGTAGAGATATTTGGCGGTTCAATTTTAATAAAGCTTATTTATACCACTAAATATTGTATTTTATGTCTTCTTCACTCGAACTGAATCTGAGGTCCCATTCCCATCAATCCAAATCACTCTACAAGGATTTAAAAATGGACACGCACAAAACAAGAAGACAAGTGAAAGAATAAAACTAGAAGAATTTTATTTGATGGAACAGCATCTCAAAAACTCTAAAGCTGACATACTTGGTTAATTCCCCAGTTTCTCCTATTTCAAGCCCTTCAAAATATATAATTTAGCATTAAATTTTACTTCCTTCTTTTGTTTTGCAGATCATGATTTATCTATTCATAAGACATCCTGTGGATCAAATTTGAGTAGCAATTCATTGTGTGATGATCCAAAGGTAAAAATAAATATTCATCTCTTTGTTCTCTTTAATACTTTTGTAATATTAATTGACGATGTGAATTGTTAACGTTGTTGGACTTGGACATGGTCCAGAGTAAGAAAAGGGACACTTTTTCTGAAGAGGAGTTGAAGATTCGCAGCGAACTTGAAAATGATATTGAGAGAAATTTGGAGGAGGAAATAAAGGATGGAATATACCATCTAGCTCTTAGATTACACCGCCTTTATCTTCACCAGAAAGAAAGGGATGCGAGAGAAGCATATGAATTATATGGTGATAAAAAGAGGAAGAACAAAGTGCTTTCCGAAGTAAACATAAGCATAAGAATGGAAGGAGGGACCAAAATTGAAATAAAAGAGTCGAGGAAAGAAGAAGATCCTGATAAGGGTCGGCCATGGACCCCTTCAAGTTCTGAAAATATACAAGCGATGCTTCAGCAAGTTTCTAAGCACAAGAAGTTTGATTGGGCGAATAGTTTACGATCAGGTACAGACCCTGGGGCCATTAACAAGAAAAATAGTAGATTGCAGAAGACTGCATTGGGATGGCAATGTTAATAAATTTGATTGACTTGGATTTTTAACCCATCTTTATTTTGTTCATATAGACTTTTACCAAAACTATAATATTATTCGCTTTAGTTTAGTTTTTAGTTTCTTTATTTTTCATTAAATCATTCTTAAAATTCTGTTTTATAAAATAGCAAAAAAAGATTAGTTTAGTACTGATAAGTAGTTCTCTTGGGATTCGATACTCATTTACTCAAGCTTTATACTTGCACGATTTCGTACACTTGCGAATAACCTGTCAAGTTTTTGGCATCGTTGCCGAGGAACTATTTTTTTTTTTTTTTTACCAATATCAATACGAAATATTTAGTTGCTAATTTGATTGTTTTAAAATTAATTAATTTTTATTTTATTTGTTGTGTTTGTTTTTTTATTTAGATCTTGAGAGCTTACGTTCTAAAGGTAGTAGTGACTTAATCCCTTTGTTATGAGATCGAGAGAAGGCTAAACAGTTGAGGAAAGAAAAGAGGCAAGATAACTTAGAAAAATCAATGGCTAACAGGGGAATTATAAATCATAATATGGAAAACCAAGAGAATGAGAATGAGGAAATCCCAGAGCAATGCAACTGGTGGGCGGTAGTGGTTCAAAGAGCATTGAAGGACTACTCTAGTCCTACTGTTGATGGGTGCTATTCTAGCATCAAGAGACACCCAGTTCAAGCAAATATTTGAGATCAAGCCAGCAATTATTTAATGATTTAGCAGTCGGTCCAATTTGCAGGGTGCCTAATGATAATCCAACTTGCATATCGCCAATTTCTAGAGTTATGCGACACATTCAGGCATAATGGAGTATTGTGATGCAATAGCTAAGGCTTTTCTCATTCTCTTTTCGGGATAAGCTAAGGCTTGGTTGATTTCTCTGCTATCTGGGAGCATCACGACATGAAATGAGTTAGCTTAAGCGTTCCTCACTAAATATTTTCCACCTGCCAAGTCTTCCGAGCTGAGAAGTGAGATTACTAATTTCTACCAACAAGACATGAAGTCATTATATGAGAATGAGAAATGTATAGGATCTTTATGGAGGTGTCTCACCCATGGTTTGCCAATTTGGTCGCAAGTGCAAACATTCTACCACATGGTTTCTGCCAAATATTCAAGCCATGTGATGATGTCAGTGGAAGAGCCTTGAATAACAAACACTAGAGGAAGCACAATTGATCGAGGTGATGGCAAACAATAATTAATGAGGACTTCAAAGAGAAATTCAACAAGGAAAGCAGCGGGAGTGCATGAAGTTTACGGTTACACTGTATTGGCTGCTCAACTTTCAAACATCCAGAAGCAATTAGGTAAGTATTAAAGATAGATACAATTGAATCCTCTTCTCTAACATGCGAACTCTATGCAGGTAATCATCATTCAAGGAGTGCAAGAAGAGAATCCATTAATTAGCCTAAACAAGCAATTGCATCAATAATTTCCAAAGGGGCAAGGGAATCCATATTCGAACACATAAAATCCGGCATGGAAGAAGCAACAAACTTCTCATAGAGTAACAATAATAAACATAAACAACCTCCTGGTTTTCAAGCTTAAGAGCCGAAATCTAACTTGGAGAATGTACTTACCAAGTTCATTGAAGAGACAAGCAAGAGGTTTGAAAAGAATGAAATCCTTGCCCAAAATCAGTCAGTCTCTATTAGAAACCTTGAGACTCAAATAGGGCAAATCCATAACATAATAGCGGGAAGAGTTCAAGGAGTTTTATCGAGCGATACATAGAAGAACCTAAGGAACAAGTCCATGCAATCACCTTGAGGGGTGGAAGAACCTTGGAGAATTCAAGGATGAAAAACAGATGCAAGAAAAAGAGAAAAACTTGGAAAAGAAAAGAAGGACGATCGTGTGGCTAGAAATGGTCGTGACAGCGACTGTGAAAAGAAGTACGATCGTCGTGGTGAAAAATGGTTGTCACGACGACACTAAAAATTTGAAGAAAAAGGCTTTGTTAATGACGATCGTCACGGTGAGGAAAATTGTCATTGCAACGACCGTGAAATTGTTCTCGAACCTTTAGAAGATGATATTTATCATCACGACAAGGAAATTAGTTGCCATAGTGACCATGAATCTGACCAGAATGCACTTCAAGTCATCAAGCCAAGGAGAAAATGAATCCACCCTTCCGTACCCACACTGATTGAAGAATCAGAAGCTTGGCAAACAATTTGGCAAGTTTATTGACATGTTCAAAGCTTGCCTATTAACATTCATTTTGTTGATATGTTAAAGAGATGCCCAAATACGCTAAGCTTTTGAAGGAGATCCTCATGTATAAAAGAAGATTTGAGGAACATGAGAAAGTAATGCTATGGAGGAGGGTAGTGCACTGATTCAAAAGAAACTACCATCAAAACTACGAACCTAGGGAGTTTTACTATCTTTGTATTATTGGTAGTTGTTATTTGACAAGGTTTGTGTGATTTAGGGGCAAACATTAATTTAATGTCGTTTTCTCTCTACAGGAAACTTGGATTGGGAAAATTGAAGCCAACCACCGTGTTCTCCAATTGGCAGATCGATCAATAACATATCTAGGGGGGTGGTAGAAGACACTTGATTAAGGTAGATAAACTGATTTTCCCGGCAGATTTCATAGGTTAGACATGGAGGAAGATAAGAGAAATACCTTTAATCCTAGACGACCTTTTCTAGCAACGGCAAGCATTGATAGTGTTCATTAAGGGAAACTAATCTTAAGGGTAGAAGTAAACAAGTAGAGTTTAATGTTTTTGATGCCACGAAACTCCATCCGACTTAGACACGTGCTTGAGATTAGTATCCTTGATACATAGTGAATAAAAAATTAGAAGAAAACTACCCTAGTTCACCCTAGAGAATTGTTTAGTCAACTCTATGACTATGGAGTTGACTTTGAGTTGGTAGATGAACTCGGTTAAAGCCTATGTGAATGGTGAAATAAGATATGAGGGTTTGGATCCTCCTGATGATTTGGATTGAAGAAAACGAAAAGTCAAGCTTAAAACTTTAACCAAGCGCTTTAGGAGGCAACCAAGTGTTTCTTATTTTATTTCAAATTTTTTTCTTTAATTAATTAATTTGTTGTTGTGTAGGTGTTAGTTTTTAGGTGTCCTTAATTCTTTCCGTCTAGCTAAATGATGTTGATGTGATTTGTTACTCTAAATATAAATTTAACAGTATGTGTGTTGTCGATAAGGTACATCGAAAGTCTCTTTTTGCAGGAATTTGATTTCAATGATGGAATGAAACGAGTAAGGTGGTTAAACTTTCACGCTTATTCACACTTCACTATTGCAAAAGGGGGTAACTTTTCTTTTTCTTTTTTTTTTTGTTACATTTGTACACGGGGACAATGTAGATTTTAGGTAGGGGTAAAAGTTTCTTCCCAAAATTTGAATTTATGGATTATGAGAATTTTTTATTTTTGTTTATGTTTTGAATTTTGGTTCTATCTTGGATTAATTTATATGTCTATGATAGGAATGTAATTGCAATAACATGTAACAAGTAGAAGATATTAATTTTTGCATTTAATATAGATGATTGTGAATGTTAATGACATTTATTTGAGCCCTAGCGGTTAGTGGATTAAAAGTGGTTAAGTATACTTACTTAGAGAAGTTTTATGTGTGAAGTTTTCATGGATTTTTGTGATCTCAACAAACTCTAGAACTTATTGAACCACTTGAGGCGAAATCCTGGAGTTCACATCACTTAGGAAATGATTTAGGCTGTTTTTGGACCGATTGAGCCTTTCAAGCCGACCTTTTTATTATCATCGCTAGTTAACCCTTAGCCTTTTAAACACAATTTAGTCTTGTTTTTCTTTCTTTGAACTTAATTTTTTCCCTACCCGATTATGAGCCTAAAACACAGTCTTACCTGTTTTATTTTAGAGACTTAATTGTAATTCAAACTTATTATGAGTATTGGAGAGGTGTAGTGTTGCTACAACCCAGGTTTATGTAGAAGAATTGGTTGGGGGTTGTGGAGTGCTTGTAAGATCAGTGGGGTTTATGTGTTTTCCATTTTCTTTTTATTGTTGTTAATTTAAAAAAAAAAAACTGAAAATGAAAAAAAAAAAAAAAAAGAGAAGAAAAAAGAAAAGTGAGCGTTGAAAAACATTATAAAGATGTAAAATTATGGAAATGGGTATATTTTAGTGTCGAACAGAAAGAGCTCGATAAAGGTTGGGAAGCTACTGAGTGAAAAGGAATGGTTTTTGTATGATAGTTAAGAATGAATGAAGATTAAGTCTCTTAATTTGATTTTTGTTGAATTCCTTTCCTTCTTCATGAACCATACCCTAGCCTAACGTTAAACCTATACAAAGACCTATTGATCCAAGGTAGTGTGAATTTCTACATTAGTGGAAAGTGGTTTGAAAAGTGAGCCTATAGAGTTTGATTCCATGATTCATATATAAGTCATAACCCGAATACGAGATCAAAATTTTGTTTATGAATGTTATGCATAAAACCATTGGGTTTATAGACTAATGGTTGGTTTTGTATGGATGTTCTAGGGTCGATAACGAAAATAGAATTGACGTTTGCATTGTCTGTGAGTTTAGGCGATTTTTATTATTCTATTTGTTTTGTATATGCGATTTTGAGATAATTATGAATTGATCCAGGAATTTTGTTAGTCTTTGTTTTTATTTTGAAGTTTAGGTTAAGTTAGGGTGGATGTGTGTGGTATCATCGTTGAAACCCTCACAAGATTGCAATCATCCAACTAGGGTTGCCTAGGGTTTTAAGGCTTGTTGCATATGCTAAATGCAATCGTGTCAATCTACGAAAAGGATTAGAATAGTTTACATTTAGGTTTTAATTGTTTGTTTTTTTTCAAGCTTAAAGATATGTTTTATTGCTTAGTTTGCTAGGGACTAGCAAGAAGCTGTTGGGGGTTGTGACAAGAGTTTGAAAATGTGTGTTTGTTAGTGATTCAATTGGATTATTTGTGGGAAATTTTGTTTAAACTACAAAATTTGAGTTA